TGTTACAGTTGCAGACTACCTGAGCTTTACTGGACGCCAGATACCATCCCATCGGATAAAGTTACTTTCGTTCATAAATAATGCATCATCCTGTTTTATTCTAGTTTAATTGGAGCAATTTACTGATCTCTCTCTGATTAATAAAAGCATAAAACTGAAAAAAAGTGTATGCATGCAGAAATCTAAAGCAAACTCTGAAAGGCAGTTTTTCGGCCGAATTAATTTAATCTAAAGGACCACTTATATCGAAACAGAGACTAACAATAAGATGGTCAATTTCCATGGCAGACACTATGGAATGAGAAATATAGACCACACTTAATTTGAATAAAGAGGAGAAGGATAATTTATGCATCAAAGAAAATCTTACAAAAACGTGTTACATTTTTACTGTATGATAAATAATACCTGATCAAATTCATTCAGTGTTTGGCCCCGGATCCTCCTCTGTATTCAGTTGAAAAGTGCATATATAAACTCAAGAGTATGATTTGGTTTAGATTGGTTTGTCTGTCCTGTTTTACAACAGGATGAGCAAATTTACTGTGAGCAAATTTTTAAGAAATGTTATTACAATTATCGAACTATTGCTGATTTGAACTTCTAAATACAGTTTGCCATCCAGCAAACTCTGTCCCTGTGAATGTAGTAGATACCAATAATACAGGCTTTCTTCTTCACACTTAGGAAAAGATGACTCGAAATAATAAAAATCATGGTCCGCACTTCACAGATGAGATGATAAAGAAGTATTTTTCCACCTTTTCAAGTCTCCTGTTTGATCTGTAAAACTGCAGTCAGGAGAAGACAAAAGCATGAAAACATTTCTGGGGTTAAAAAAAAAGCCTGTCAGTATTTTGTATTGTTTGGAAGCTTTCAAGATGCAAAATGATATTTGCAGCTTGGCAGTTTGGGGAGCTTTTTTAGAACTAAACCTTTGGAAATGTCTCCATTACTCATGCTGATAAGGAGCTATGAGCTGACATTTTCAGCAAGTCCTTTTCCTGTGCAGGACATGCTGATGTTTCTCTGGCAAACGTAGCTAAAATTTGTGCAGGAAAAGATGTGCATTTGATCCATATCCAGGAACAAGTAGGCGCAGGATAGAAGAGTCAACAACATTCACTGAAATTATTCAGGAGCTTAAAGATAGCACAGATTTTCACACAAGAAAAAAATATTTCAGATATCTTTATGACGTTGAACTAACATCCATGTGGGTTGTGGTGTTGTGTTTTTTTTTTTCTATTAGTGTAGTTGTCCAGATCAGGGTAAATTCATTAAGGTCAAAGCTGACTTGCACCAAGATTTATGTAAGACTGGAGGAGTTCTGTTGAAATGAAGTTAGCTTTAAGGTATGAAATAAAGTGTGAGGTTGGATTGTCTGGCATGCCGATCTTCTTTCCCTCTTGAGAAGCTTACTAATTGCAAGAGGCAAATCTACTGATCTTGTAACATTATTCACCATTGAAGTGAAATATTATAACGGAAGGAAGGAATTGTGAAAGCTGGTATGGAGTATTAAGACTTCTTGTACCCTGTGTCAAGAGGCATAGGAACAGGAAGGTAGTTCTTCCGTCATTCAGGATGTGATTAATAATGTCTCATTATTTCATTCAGGAACACCTAAAACAAAAGACTCCTGAAATGAAATAGGTATCTGGCATGGCATTCAAAGCTTGGATTTTCAAATGAGTTTTTGTGTTAAGATCTGAAATCCCACTAAATTTAGATAGAATTGAGTTGTTAACACACTTGTTCTCTTTTGAGCATCTTGGCTTAAGTATATTTATTTCTCAATTTACATAGTTTTCTGACTTTGAAGTCCCATAGAGATTCTGGTGGCCATGCAAGATGATGTATTCCAAATTATTTATTCACAAACATATCCAAGTACCATGCTACAATACTATATCACAGTCTATATATAACTAGCTTACCTGATGTAAATATGGTATATATTTATTATTATTCATTGTTAAGGTACCTAGTCTTGGTTGAACAATATAAACCTCAAATTACTCCATTCTAGAGTTATTTAAAAACTAACAGGTACCTTTTTGTGTTCCTTTTTTCATAGTGGGGAAAGTGGTGCTGGAAAGACTGTAGCTGCTAAATATATCATGAGTTATATTTCCAAAATTTCAGGAGGTGGCCCTAAAGTACAGGTGAGTTGATACAGAGCAATACTGAAGCATAAGCATAGTATAGTCTAAAGATCTACTTCAGAGGTAGAATGACAAAGGTATGTCTTGGCAGACACTGGCAGCCAAGAGGCTCTCTCACAAAGAAGCTTGTGGGTGAGCAGCTAGAAATACATAGAAGCACTCAACAGCAGAGACACAACTGAAGTGGACAGTGAACTGCTTGCTTGCAGATTGCTGGGCTGCCTGTGTGACGGGAGCCATATGAGGGAAATCCACAGACGCAGAATCATCTCTGCTAGAAGTTTTGTAACTCTCATGCTGTATTATGTCTATAAGCAATTTTTTTTAGTTAAGGGCTAAAAGGTACCTTAATTATTGTTCTTAACCAGATTAAGAACAATAACCAATCTCCTTTTAGTAGATGTGTGGTTTTTTTCCTCCTGTGTTGGCATTCTATTGAAAACTGAACTGGTTTTTCGGGTTTTTATTACTTCCATTAAATCTCTGATTTGTATGCGTACGTCAGAGAGCCAACAGCAGGAACATCATCTTGGTTTATGAGGTTATCTAGTCAAAATTAAGAGTATCTGAAAGCTAGCTGAAACAACAAATAGTTGCTTTTGTTGATAACTATACTATCAATGTCTGCTCTATCTATCGAAACGTATTAACTAAAGCTAATTGAGTGAATTAGCTGTAAAAATTTCCTTAATGATGTTACAATGTCATTCATTGACAGACAGGCGGTGGTATGTAGGTAGCAGCTGCTTTTACTAGTCCACTCTTTTTGAGTGCTTACTGTTATTTTTTGCTTTATTGCAGTCTCTGATATTGAGTATGTTCTTTCCACTTAGTTTTGCACAACAGTGATACTGGGAATAATTCAGTAACCAAGAGAGTGATCCAGAGAAAGTATGCATTGTGTTATTCTTGGAATAAATATAATCATACTTTATAAGTAAATATTTTGTTTTATTTAAAAGATTCCAGATTTTTGTACAAAACTTTAAAATATTCTTAGTGACTACAGAGTAGCGGTTGATGAAGCTGGAAAGTTGCCTTGAACATTTATTTTGGAATAAAATTGAATCTTCTCTTCACAACTCAGCATGCATTGGGTTTGTTCCAAAGCTAATATCTTGTCCGTACTTCCAACTCTTAGGATCAGATAAAGAGACAATAGTAACACGCTTTATTGCTTTCTAAGACAGCTAGATAGCAGCATCATTGATCGCGAAACAGGTTGCTGGAACACTTGCAGATTCCTAAATTTCATGCTGCTCTGACTTCATTGGTTGTAGTTCCAGACACCCGAAAAGATTTAAATGTTCATGTGTAAGAAGGAAATTGTTTAAAATCAAGGTGATGAAGAAACAGATCAATTTATTGGCTGTGTTGCTTGTCAGAACAGTGAACAGAAGGACCAGTTTTTAGCCTCAGACATTTTGTTCAATTTGGTAGGATTTTCTTCAAAAAATAGGAACTAGGAACTTCAAAAAAAAAAAGACAGATTCTCTTCCTTATCTGATCAAGAGGATTTCTCACAGATGCAGGCTTTCTTGCTTTTTTAATATAAAATTTAGATGTCATGGTTTTCTAGAAAATCTGTAAGAACTTTAAAAATGTCTATTTCTGAATCTCTGTTTCTCTTGTTTCCTAAAATTTTAGCATGTTAAAGATATTATTCTACAGTCCAACCCTTTACTGGAGGCCTTTGGGAATGCAAAAACCGTACGGAACAACAACTCCAGCAGATTTGTAAGTCCCTCTACCTTAGAGATTACTTTATTCTTCCATCTTCTGTGCTGTTATAGAGACAGTATTCAGGAGTATAATATAAATTGACTACAAATGAGGTAAATCTAAGTAAAATACAAAGTGTGTTTTAAAACATAAAGTATATCTTGAGATGCCTCTATTTCATTCTGTATAGGTTGTGCATTTGTTTCTCTTACATTATGTACTGGTCACAATTTATTTATAAAATGTTCAGTTTGCAAGCAAGTAACTTATCAGCAACAAACTGGCCAGTTTTCCAGATCAGTAAAATATACGCAGTAATATATGTTTAAAAAAAAAAAAAAAAATTGATAGCTTTTTCAAAAATAGATGAAACCATCCTTAGAGTTGTTTTATGGGAAATGCTTTTACTAATGTGTACAGAAGGTAGGCAGGAATTATTTTCAGTCTGTCATTATAAAATACTCAAGATAATATTGTGAAATGACCACTAGATAACATACTGTAGGTTCTGTTTTTAAAAGTTACCCATAGGCTTTACAAATTTGAGGTTTGTTCCTCAGCCAACGTGAGTGTTAATGCAATTAATGTCTCCCTGAAAGAAAAAGATAATTGCTTTACCTTGCTTCCAAGCAGAACGCTATGTTTGCTGTTGGTTGTAAATCTGTTAAATTTACTTCCCGTATAGGTGAGTGTTTTGGTTTCCTTTATACTAAGCAAGAGTGAAAAGAAACCACTGACTTCCTCTCTACATTTTCATTAACATGTGACATGTTATCCTGAGTCTAGCGCTGTGTAAATGCAGAAAGAAAGATAGATATGTGATAGTTCAAGAATCTAAGCTTAGGTTATACCTTGAGGCAGCTCTGTCACTGCATCCATAAAGATTAAATGTCCTAGTAACCTTCCTTGAGATACGGTACAAGTGCATGATTTCAGATTTGTATTTACTAATCATTCAACAGCTTTACTAATTTATTGCAGGGGAAATACTTTGAAATCCAGTTTAGCCCAGGTGGAGAACCAGATGGAGGGAAAATCTCCAACTTCCTACTGGAAAAATCTCGAGTTGTAATGAGGAATCCTGGAGAGAGGAGTTTTCACATTTTTTACCAGGTCAGAAGTGTATAGGTCCTTTCCGAGTTATTTAAAATAAGTAGGACCAGTTTTTCCTTTTGATTGAAAAGTCGTTCTCAACACAGTGAGATTGATGAATGCATACTCAAGAAGGTAATCTGGATATCCCTGGGAAGCTTGATAGCATGTTAAGACACCATCTAACATAGACCTACTTAGCTGCCTTTCAGCTCCAGAACAAAAGTACTTCAATATTTCAAAGGCCTTGCTTGGAAATTCACTGTGAACTCCCATATGGAAAAGTCCAGTAGAATATAATAGAAAATGAGAACTTTCCAACAGATTTCTTTTTAAACTGGGCTATATAATTATACCTTCTGCTCTGGAATTCCATAGCACAGCTGTGAAAGAGAGATCTGATTCTTAGTTAAGTTTTAAAGGACATTTAGGATAATATCTATTTGTTGAATCCTCTAAGCGTCCCTGCTTCTTTTGTGTTTCAGAAGGCTTTTCTGGCCTTCACTGGTCCTTGACACGCGAGTTCCTTATCTGCTGAAGTGCCTTTGATCGAGCTCTACAAAACTAGAGTAAAGACAGGACATTGTAAGTGAGTGTAAGCAGCTTCACATAAAGTTGAAGTGCCATTGGCAGGATGGAAAGCTGAGTTGGAGCTGGAATTGCTCCAGGAGCTTCCAAGGTATCTGAACAACTTGCACTGTCCTGCTGATTTTCCTCTGTGGCTTGGAGAGGCTTTTTGACACAGGAGTTAAAAGACTATGGGGTTTTGACTAGTCTCTTCTGAGGTTAGTTTGTTCATTCCTTCCTCTTGCAGCCATGTCTGTGCATAACTGCATAGACTTTACGTAGGTCTGAGGAGCCTCTCCTCTGGCATCACAGAGAGTACAGGAATCTTTTCTAACTACTCTGTTATTTATTCTTGTCCCTGTTGGCCTAAATGATGCAAAGAGGTGTGACTTGAGCCATGCTTCAAATCAACGTAGTATTGGAGCAGTTCAAAACTTGCTTAACATACGCCATACTGGGCATAAAGGACACTTGGCCTCACAATTAGAGTCACAAATAATGCTTTCTTAGTATGTTCTTTTAACTCTGCCTACCTTTCAGTGGGAAAACACGTTGCTCGTGAAGATTTAGATAATATATTGCAGACTGGAAAACCTGCTTTGCCTTATCTTTATGAGGTAGAGATAATGAAAGGCATTCAAGTCAGTCACAGTTTTTGCTTTTTATGAGATGTGGAAGTTAGAACTAAACTGTTCATGGGAATGGGAATGAGAATCTGGTCTTTTGGGTTAAACATTTAACAAAACATAGGAAGGATACATATCTTGTACGTATGGCACAGCACTAGCCACATCTTTCCCAGTAATTTCAGGCTCAGTCACCTGTTTCTGACCTGCCTCATCTCTGCTGAAGATTGTTGTATGATACCTAATTTGGGGATTTTTATTCTGCAGCTAATTGAAGGGGCCTCCTCGGAACAAAAAAGCAGTCTTGGCATTACCAGTATGGACTACTATTACTATCTGAGTCTCTCTGGGTCCTACAAAGTTGATGACATCAATGACAAATCGGATTTCCAAGAAACACTGGTGAGTTTTTTATTCTATGATTTGCATAGCGGTGGACTTATGTTCATTTCACTGTTCATTTGTAGCAAAGATATTGATGTATTAATGTAGGAATGAGAAATGAATGTAGATGTAACTTATTTTAATTATATTTTACCCTGAGGAGGAGGTATGTTACCCTGAAGAGGTCCTATGTTGCAGCCTAACAATCCTGAGAAGATAGATTCTTTTTACAGAAAGGTGTTTTGTTTTTTGTTTGTTCTTTTTCAGAAGGGTGTAAATTTAATGTAATTTAATTGAGTGCAGATATTCTGCAGTATGAAAAATGTGAAAATGCAAACACAGTGAGGAGCTTCCGTTAGAAGAAAATATAAGAGAGTGCCCTGTTTTAGCTGAATTCTTAGTGGTGACTGATCTTCCATGCCTATTTAAAACAGCACAACTGGAAGACTGGAGAGGGGGACTTAGAAAGCATAGATTAGGGATCTTTATCCAGTGCTGTTACCAATTCATTGTGCGACCTTTGTGCAAGTCATGTCCTTTTATTAGAAATTTACTCCTATTATTAGAAATTTACTATTTAAACTAAGCATGTTAACACATCTTATTTATATATGTAGCACATTTAAAGGCCTGAAAAAAAAAATCGTTAACTGTTGTATTCTAGCTAATTTGATATTTTAGAAAAAGTCAGTTGAAAAGACATTCTATAAGTTACTATGTACTCTAGACTCCAAAACCCAATGTTATTGTGGATTATTTTCTAGTAAGTGGCTGAAATTCACAGCCTGAGCCAGATGGACTGTCCTGCTTTTTAGAGTCATTCAGTACAGCTTCACAGTTCTTAGTCTCAGTGGATAAACTGTCTGTGTAGAAGGAATAAAATCATGTCTCTTAAGTTTATTGTTTCCCATTTTGCAATGAAACTATTTATTTTTAGTGTGATGCTTAAGAGCAGGTGCTTGTTTTTTAGTAACTTTAATTTTTCCAGAATCTGTTTTGCTAACACATCTTCTAAATGGTGTAGATGCTTCTGTATTTAAATAAAAAAATACAAAAATGCTGTAATGAAATTTAGGTATTTGAACTGTTTTGAAAAACTCAAATTTTTAACATCAAAATTTTAAAAAGACTTCTATGACAAGAGTCATTGAACAGATTCTTCGACTGATTCAATTGTTTTTTTCTTTTTCTTCCCAGCATGCAATGAGTGTGATTGGGATCTTTGCAGAGGAACAGGCATTGGTGCTGCAGATAGTGGCAGGAATACTGCATTTGGGAAACATCAGCTTCAAAGAAGTTGGCAACTATGCAGGAGTGGAGAGTGAGGAGTGTAAGTACCTCTGGAAACGGTTATAGAATTAGCAATGGGCTGAAACCCAGATGGCATAAGGTGAACTGCAATTTTGAGCTGCTTATCCAAACACAGTACATCATTTCTTATAGTGCAAGGCTGCTAACTTAGATTCTCTTTCAAAACCAATGGTCCTGAGGTCCTTTTGTCTTGTACAATGCCGCTGACTTAATAAGAGTGAAATTTTGAATGTTGAATTTAAGAAATCCTTTTTCAGCCTTTGAGTATGAAGTAATGGAAATTCTGAGAAATGCTTTCAAGCAAACTTGAACTCTGCTCCTTTCAATGCATCACACATTCATAAAAACACCTCTTTCTTATGTGGTTTGTCTGACCTCGTTGCCATGTGAAAGCAGCTACCAACTGTGGAGTATCCCCAGACTCAGGTACACAGTCGGCGCTCAGGCATATATATATGTGTACATGCATCCAGAAGAAGGGCCTTGAAAACAGAAATTCAGAATTGAATTGAAATGCAGAATTTACATACTACAGTTATGTTCCCTGTCTCAGATTTCTTAACCCATACCTCATTATTAGGCATATCTACTACATAACTATTTCCTTATTATTTCTTTATCCACAATGCACTGTCTTTGTATCCTTCACCTCTTGCTGCTGTTTTATATCAGCTAGGCCCATATCAGCAAGATGTCGAAAGATGAATGGATCTTGAGTTTTAAACATTTTTGTCATGATTTATACCTTGCATCTAACGTAGATTTTATACTACTTTGATAGTTTAAGGACAGAGTGGATAAGCACACCATATGTAGTAGCTTATACATATCTATTTGTTCTCTTAACTCTTACTTTAGAATGGTCTTTATGTTTAGGAAAACTGCATATGAATAAAGTATCTTGTGCAGTCAGCTTCCCACTCAGCTGTATTAGTATTCTCCTGCTATTTGTTTTAAGAAATTGGGAAATAAAAATTACTAATTTTTAACCTTAATTTCTTAATTAAGTGAACCCAAATAAAAATATTTTGTGGCATTTTATACATGCAAAGAAAAGTATAGGATTTTTTATATGCTTTATGATTCCAAATGAGCTACTGTGCTTCCATTTAAATCACAGTATTAAATCTTTCAATGAAATCCAGACATTTAACAGCCAGATGAGATAGATACAGAGTGTGTTCCATCAAAAAGTAACAAACTGAAAAGACATGAGTTGAAAATAAGTTGGTAAATGTGAATGTATTTCTATGATGAGCCATGTACACCACATTTTTCTTGCTCACTGGGATATAAATACAGAAGTTGTGTATGAATAATGCATTGAAAAAATTAGCAGACAGAATGAATATAAAACTTATTCATAAACATACTGCATTTTAAAGAAGCCAGAGGAGAAATAGCAATGTCTAGTACAATTTCTGCATTATGAAGTTGAAAGTTGGGTTCATTTCTCTTTCCATTAATCATCCCCCCAGTTTACTGTTTGTCCTAGCCAACCAACTAGTAAAGCGTTTATAGCCTGGATAGCCACGAAAGATAAAACACAATGCAAGACCGCTGATAAGTCATGCTTTGCGTAAGTCTGAAATAATAAAAGTTTAAGACTTTGGTCAATAGTGTTCTTGTTATTATATAGCGAGTTGCAGAAAAACACACAAAGGCCATTCTTCAAGACACCAAAAACTCTAGTCTGTTACTCCGAGTCAGAATCAAATCTATACAAACCATTCTTGACAGACATTTAGACAAATACTTCGTTAAAACTGCCAGTGGTTACTCTACTATCTGTTACAGTGCTTGATTACATTAATAGTTGAAAAAAAATGTTCTCATTATTTATCCTAAATCTTCCATGTTGCAAATCATGCCAAATACTATTTGTTCTCTCGTGGATGCAGAAAACAATTTAAACCATCCCTCTTTACACTAGCATTGTATTGAAAGATTTGTTTTACACTTTCTGAAAACTGATGAAGTGAACCTAATCTTTTTTCAGCTTTTCTTCACAGATTGTATTTAAAACTATTCCACAGAATGTTATTGATTACTCTTTGAGAATCATTTTTTCAGTTACATGCATATCCTGTTTTATAGTAATTTCTAGATGGTAATTCTATGGTCCCTGACTGGGGAAAATAATCAGGCATCTTAAGAATGTGAAGTTATATCAAGTCATGTCCAGCTATTCTTCCTTTACAGTAAATCATTAGCACTGTAAAGGAAGAGTTTCCGAGGTATGCGTGGTGATTCTTACCATTGTACTCTCTTCAGAAATTCTTACAGTAGTATTGGCTAAATACTTATTCTGGCATCTTTACAGTATGTGTGAGCATATTTGGTCTATAATTACCTACATTCTTTTCCATTTTAAAGCGTATGATGTTTGACCTTTTCATGTGCTCTTCAACCTGAGTTCTCAGCGAGTTACCAGAGATGTTTGCCAGTGACTCAACTTTGGTTAGTTGTGTGGTTCCTAGTACCCTAGGGTAAATTTAATCAGCTTGCTAATGGTAATGAATGAGATTTCAGACAGCTGGTGGTTATTTGCAGTTTTAAAAATAATTTTGGATTAATGTACTGAAGGGTTTAGCGAAATCATGCTGTGACATTACAGATGTGTAAAGCACAAGTGGCTGGTGCCTTAGTGATTGTTTTACATCCTCCTCACACCACTAAAGTAGATCTGAAAGCAATGGAACATGGAGGAAACATTCTTAGAAGATTATGTGGTTTAGCAGAGGTGCAATACCAACTCCAAGAGCTGCCCTTGGGAGCTCTTTCCATATGCTTTCAAGCCGTTTCTCTTTTTCCATTCCTCAAGGTGTGTGACACCTGCAGCTAACATCTGCACCATGTGCTAAGACTTTTAAACAAGGGAAATCAGAATTTGCAAAGTACTTCCAGAATAAGGGATTAAAAAAACAATGGCAAGGCAGTTGAAACTTTTTGCAATATCGTAACTTAGAAGAAGAAAAGGAAAGAATATTAGGAAGCAGATAGCATTTAAACGTTTCATGTTTTTTCAAAGAATTTTCAAATGATGTCAATTTTACTTAATGTGTGAGCTCTATGTTTTATTTCCATCTCCTCCAAGAGTGATTTGTTTGAACCACAGAGTTCAAAACTATGACCTAAGCCAGCTTACATGTTTAAAGGACTGAAGGTACAGAAATGGCTGACTATTTTACTTCAAGGTGGTTTATCTTAATTGAAATCCATGTAAGTAAAGAGTTGAAAATGTCCTTCGGGAGCTTAGGGAAATTTTAAAGACATAAATCCCTCCTCTTCTTCTTTTTAAGCTGCATGCCCCATGAGGTTTATTATTGCTGATTGTTATTAGAGATACAGCTAATTTTTTTTCCTTCGTTCTGTGTTGGTTTAGTCTGTAAGTCATAATCCAGCAACCCTGATCTTTCTTGCAGTTTTGGCTTTCCCTGCTTTTCTCCTGGGAATTAACCAGGACCGCCTAAAGGAAAAACTGACCAGCAGACAGATGGACAGCAAGTGGGGAGGCAAATCTGAGTCTATTAATGTAACACTAAATGTGGAACAAGCCTGCTACACCAGGGATGCACTGGCCAAGGCCCTTCATTCCCGTGTTTTTGATTACTTGGTGGATGTAAGTTGGATTTGCTTGATTCTACTGAAGTATCAAAACAAGTACAAGTACAAGTACACTAGGAATGTTCCTTGCAGTGCTTTTCTTGTCCGTCATTTCTTTCACCCAGTATATTTCTTTGCCTAAACCTTAGCAGGAGCACTGAGCAGTGCAGTGGGAGCATGACCACAGATAGCAAATACAAGGCACTGATTATATGACAAATGCTACACTTTCTTTGAAGCAAATGAGCTGTGCATTCAGCACTGTATTTGCTCAGTCTCCTGCCACAACTATCCCATATGATATTCTGACATCTCCTTCCTGTCAGCATCCATACTGCTCTGAGTCTTTCTTTCTCCTACGTAGCTGAGCATTTTCAGATGAGCAGAATTAGTTGGTTACAGTCCCCTGCTCTTTTACCCCACTCTCCTGCAAAGAACCCCTTCAGCATCCCAATGTTGTGGCATTTGAGCAAATGGTCAAATTCTATTCTCCATGCTAAAGTGCTCTCTGTTCAGAATGAGACCCTAGGCTGGATTGGTGGGGTAGAAACCTTACCTTTGGCCACAGATGCTGGCTAGATGAAGGAGAAGTCTCCATGGTGGCACTGCTAGTGTCTCAGAAGTCTCCTTCATCATGACAGCTTTGTAATTCCCACTACGTACCAGCACTGTCACTGCAAAGTAGGGGAATACAGAAATAGGTGAAAAGATTCATGGTACCATCTGCAAAATGCATCAAATATCAGACTTAAAGCTGTTCTTTTCTTCTTGGCTCCTTTTCTTTAACTGAGCCAGTTACCCCAAAGGGGAAAGATTTTTACAAACAGTAGATCCAAAGGCTCACTAACCTGGAAAACAGGATAGTATACTGTTCATTTCCTAGCTGTTAATAACACTTTATTAAAAAGTGAAAGTAAAATACCCTATTACATAAGTTTGTATTCCATTCAAATATGTTCTTTTTGAAGAAACCCAGTACTTTTATATAAAGTTTTAAGGATACGAATATATCTTTTAAATATATAAACTACACTTTGTTTTACATTTTGTTTCTGTTTTATTAGTCTATTAATAAGGCTATGGAGAAGGACCATGAAGAATATAACATTGGTGTCCTTGATATTTATGGCTTTGAAATATTCCAGGTAAGGCAATGTAATACTCAGGGTTTGAGCTGATCTGACCTGGGAGAGTTTTTTGTTATTTAGAGGGGAAAAAATCCAAAACAGAAAAAAAACCCCTAAATCTTGTGGCCAGAATGAAACAAAAAAACCCCCAACCCAGCTTCTTGGACATTGAGTTCTCACTGGTAATGTCTGACTTAATAAACTTCAAAGAAACTAGGTCATTGATCTTAAAAGAAAGATCTGAGATTACACAGAATGTCTATAAAGTTAGCAACCCATCCATCATGGACAGTGTTTCTTTGAAGCTTATTGCCAGCATAAGAACTAAGAATTATTGTATATAAAGCACAAGACTAATTTTTAAATTGTTTCCTTTTCTATAGAAAAATGGTTTTGAACAGTTTTGCATCAACTTTGTTAATGAAAAACTACAGCAGATCTTTATTGAACTGACACTGAAGGCAGAACAGGTAACCAGACATTTATTATTTTTGAATTCATAAATGAGCTATTGCTTTTTCAACTAGTGGAAAAATTGAGGTTTCATCATCTGCTAACAATAAAATTTGCCTTGTTAAGCAAGACAAAAAACCCCTCTTTGTTGTTGGCTAACTCTAAAACTGTAAACCACATCAGCTACAGACATTTATTGTCTAATACAGTGGTACAGAAGTGAGTCCATCATACAGTGTACTAATACAGTCATATGACTCTGCCCAGACTTGCTGCATATTCTGACTCATTGACAGAAATGGAAAACTGCAGCTTGGTTCCATCCCTGTGCTTTCATTGGACATGACACACACAGTTAAATGGGAATACTTTTCTTAATTTCCTCCACACCCTTTTTTTTTTTTTTTTAAAAAAATATGTATGAATGAAATAGATTACTGAGACAAATGCAAAAATACTTCTGAAAGTATTTGCAGTTCTCTGCTCACAGTCTTACTGCAAAATCTCACTTTACATGAATGTGAGCTTCTGCATGGGAGGGCAGACAGAATGCAGCTGAGACAGAAGCATTGTGTACAGTATGAGCTCAGGCCTGGCACCAACTTTAGGACAAAGTTTTCAAGAATGCACATACACAGTTGCCTTTGTATAAAAGTAACTGATCATTGCAGTTAAGCACACAAATGACCTGCTAAGTGTCTAACTGAACTCATATGTATGCAACTGAGTGGGTCAATTTAATCAAATTTTAGTATGAATTTTTTCCCCAGTCAGTCTCTAGATGTCTTTATGGTTACAGTAATTGCATACAGAAATAAAAAGTAGAGTTGTCTGTATTTCATGTGCATTTCTAAATGTGTTGTTTTGAGGGTCTGATCCTTGATGTGCCTGTCACAATCTTAATTTTTAAAATAGATTAGGATATGGATGCTTAGGTGCACTGTCAAGATACGGTAAAAATCACTTTGTTACTATTTGCAAAGTGCTTTGACAATAAATGCACTGATGAAATATTTCTGCTTTTCTCAGTAACTACTTAAGGGCTATGAATGACAAAACAATGTGTGGGGAGAACAGAGAAGGATTCCGATTCATCTCTTGAGCAGTAGAGAGATGGATTTAACTATCATTAGGGTCATTTCTCCCACCTACTCCCACTCATATATTTGACAAGTTTTTCTGAACATGAGCAGCGCAGAGTTTGTGTATATGTAGTGCATTGTAAATCTAGTGCTACATCCATGGTGCAAAGGAGTATTTGCATCTTTCTTTTTACTTAACAGGAAGAATATGTGCAAGAAGGAATTAGATGGACACCGATAGATTACTTTAACAACAAAATAGTGTGTGACCTTATAGAGAACAAAGTGGTAAGTATTTAGGACAAGCAGATGGAAAAAACAACAAGATTTTTCTCTAAAGTATTTGGGCAACTGCTTTGCTGTCAAGAATGTTCATAGGAAAAATGCAAATACTGCTGTTCTGTTACTGAGTCATACTAAGCCTATATATAAATCTTACATAAGATGTCTTATAAGAGCTCTAAGATATATGTCATCTAAGATATATGTTATCTAAGATATCAACCAAAAAGATAAGATAGCATAATTGATGTGTGACTAAAAAAATATAATGATGGAAATTAAAATGTTATCCACCTAAATTTATCATGAACTTCATGACATATTCTACTGTACATCAGATAAGGCGCTCTGTGTCCCTGGGAGATGTATTTCAGTTTGGGGAAGCTACAATACCAGCTTCCTCTTGAGGTACTGTCAAAATTAAGCAGAAACAAGCGAAGAGGAAGTACTAGGAAGTGTTGTAGATAAAAGAAATTTTGTGTCTTTGCTCCACAGTATGTTCTGCAGTTTAAAGTCTTTATGTTCTCATTTGGGGTGACAACAAATGTTGAGTTGTCCTTCAGACAGAAGTAGGTTGTTTTTCTGCTAGTTCTTTGTCGTCATGTAAGCCAGATAATTTTAACAGTAGTTCAAGTACTATAGTTGACTTGTGCTTAAATGCACATCAGATTTTGCCCATCTCCTATCTGTATCAGGATAACTAGGAAGAGGATAGGAGTTGTGTCACAGTCTTAGATATTTAGCTCTAAGTTTGTCAAACTACAGCATGTGAGTTTAAACACTTAACTCAGACATGGGTTTATTTTTTGGTGGAATGAGAAAGACTACTGCTTTGTGAAGGAATTAAAAACTAAAACAAATATTGGGCGTTTGGGGTGTGGTGGTTTTTTGTTTTGTTTTGTTGGGGTTTTTTAACAGCAATTATTGTTTTCCCCATCATTTCCCACTGTCACTATCGTTACACGAAGTGGCATCTCTCCTTAAACTATTTGCATGCTTGTGTACAAATTAATCTCTACTGTGGACTCTACTGATTGGGGTTGAATTCTTCCTGCTGTGACTTTGCTCTAGTGTTTTTGTAGCAAAGATAATTTTCTGTTTGGGGGGAAAAACTGGCATCATAATTTTTTTTTCCTCACTTCTTTTGCTGTTTTTGTTACTTTTCTCCAATGCATTAGAATCCCCCAGGGATTATGAGCATTTTAGATGATGTGTGTGCCACAATGCATGCAGTGGGAGAAGGAGCTGACCAAACACTGCTTCAGAAACTCCAGATGCAGATTGGGACTCATGAACATTTCAACAGCTGGAACCAGGGATTTATCATTCATCATTATGCTGGAAAGGTAATGTGGAAAATCGTCACTGAATTCTGCATAATGTATTTATAAAGAAAAAGAACAGTAATGAAAGGAAGGGGGAACCCCTGTAAAGGGCTGTTTTGATTTTAAATAGCCATATTATCTCAGGAGGCAGTGTCCTGCTTTCACAATGTAGGGAGCTTAGAACAAATATGCCCTAACATATGTTCCTGACTTAGGAGAGATGCATCTCGGCCTTGCCGCTATTAAACATACTAACCAGAACTTAATATTAACTGTATAATAAATAAATGCCCCCAGTCTTTTATTAATTATAATCTTAATTGTTGGTTATAGTAGCAGTAAATTTAAAGAATTCGGATCTAAAAATGATCCTTAGGTGATGATATACCAATAAAGCTGGGAATATAATGTACAGTTCTGTCTTCTTTGGGTATATTTCTCAGACTATTCATGATTTACTGCAGTTATAGTTGATAACAGTAAACCTTTATTATGCAAAAATTTTTCTTCAATAAAATTGAGTATTAAATTCACTTGTGCCGTATTCCATTTACTAGCTCCATAACAGTCTTTTTCACTGAATTTAAATATATGGATGAAATTCCTTTGTTTGTTGTGAAAGAGTTAACTTAATAATATATTGTCCTGGTTTTGAAACCATGACATATATGCAAAGATTTAGTGATCATTGTAGCATCTTTAAGTTATACCAGACTAACCAAAAAGTTCAGAACAGCTACTGATGAGGACAGAATTTAAATTTTCTTTAATTATTGGGTTCTCAACTTACCACAAACAATCAATTTCCACCTTGGCCCAGGTATCTTATGATATGGATGGATTCTGCGAGAGAAATCGGGATGTTCTTTTCATGGACTTGATTGAACTCATGCAGAGCAGTGATTTGTACGTAAGCAAAACTTGCTTAAAGCTAGGAATAACGTGTTAGTTCAGATGGATGCAGAGGTCCTGACTTCTCTACTTCGCAACTTGTGAACTCATTTATATAAAAGCGAAAATTAAACATCACTGCAGTAGAACAGTATCACTTTCATTGTATTGACCTTTGTTTTCTGCAAATCGGCATAAGTAAGGTACTGCAGTGTCAGAATCAAATGGTATAATGACAGCCATTTGTTTTGGCCTCAAACAAGGCCATCAGTGATTTGGGATTCTCTCAGAACAGGCACTGTTCTAACATATAAAGTAACTTTTTTTGTTACGTGTTTTAATTAATCGATGCTTACTTTTTAAGTGCGTGTTTCTTCGAGTCTAGAAGTCTGGTATCACGTCTTCCAAGGCTCACTAAAATAGCAAGGGATCTTTATGAGGAATGAAGCTCATGGAAAATACTAATCTTAAAATAGATTTGATATAACTCCAGATTAATAGAAATAGCTATTTATATTCTGCTCAACTATCACCTTTTACAGCATATTCCTTGACATTCCTGCATTGAATTGTCTTTCTACGCTAACACTATTTTATTAATTCTTTCCTAGGCCTTTTATAAAGGCTCTGTTTCCTGAAAATCTTCAAGTGGACAAGAAGGGCCGTCCTACCACTGCAGGCAGTAAAATCAAAGTATGTCTAGTTTTGCTGTGTTAGTATGTGCATATATGGGTGTGTGTTTGTGTATGGATACCTAAATAAAACCAAAAGTAGTCTTTGTTGTTTTTTACTGTCCAGAAGTTTTTAAAGATTGCGATCAAGATACTCCTGATGTATAAGTGATGCATTGTTTCAGCTGTTAGAATCATGTTTTGCCCAGCATTACTGTTCATTAAATGTTTTGCTCAGCTGCATTCTACAGCAGTGAATTTTCCAAACGAGCAATTGATGGTAGTGATAATAGCACTTGCATGTGCATAATGAATGAGCCCCTTCACTCAGCCACTTGATGTCCTACAATTAACTACAGATAACTGGTCTTTTTATAGTGCAGAAATGCAGCGGGGCCTAATCCAAAGCCCACTGAAGTCAACAGAAGTCTTTCTACTGACCATAATGTGCGTTGAATAAGGCAGCAAGTGTTAGAAGGCGAGCATCTTTTTGGAGACTGGTTGTAAAATATACACTTAGATTACACACTTGCAGACTTTGGAAATCGATATTTTATCAACCTCTTTCCTCATATTTCACCCTGACAGTCAAGGTCACCTGATGCACTCCTTGTCAATCCATATTTCTATATAATAGTTTAAATATATTACATAGCTGGAGATAATGGTGCCTTCTATTTACTGATACATTTTTCATGAGGTGCATATTATCCCAAGACACTTTGGTTGTTCTGGAGAAAGACCAAAGTCAACTGGATCTAGTCAACTGAATCATCAGCAGATGGTTGATAGTCTTTAGAATTCTCTCACAGGATTTACCCTGTTCAGCTCAGATCCTATTGTTTTTCCTCAATTTTACAGAAACAAGCAAATGACCTTGTTGGCACCCTGATGAAGTGTACACCCCATTACATCCGCTGCATCAAACCAAATGAAACAAAGAAGTCTCGAGACTGGGAGGAGAGCAGGTATGAATAAGCGGAGTACATCATGAGAAACAGTGCTAATAGTCAAAAAAAGCCACAAAAATTCATAATCTGTAATCATACAGCCTACAGACAAACAGAATTAGATACTCTAAAACCTTCAGAAATGAAATCTGGCATGACCTCTCCTAAACTTTGAAGATAATCTGTGGTCACTTGGTCTAAATCAGCAGTTAGTATATGCAGTTCTTAGCTTTTCTCATAGCAGTTATGAAAATCAACATTTGCATAACAGTCACACAGTCGGTATATTAAAGACTCAGTTTTCCATGTAGAATTTGCACACCAAATGCACTATACATCAATTCTAACTTTTGCTTTATGCTTTGAAAACAGCTTTTATTAGGCAGCTAAAAAGCCAGCAGGATGTCTCTATCTACTTTTATGTATCCAACTTACCAAGAAGTCTCTATAGCCAAGAATGTAGAAGGTTCCTTTTTTACATCTTGACTTTTTAAAGAGCTGGCTAATGAAATTTAAGAGAAGTTACTAGAATATCATATCGGGTGGTTATATAGACATTAAATAGATGTCTAAATCATCAGTTTGGTTAATTGCATCTCTTTTAAGGCATCCTTAACTATATCATGCTTTATAGCTCTTCATATTATCTGAAAAAAGATACTCTTCTTTTTTGCACTGAGGTAGGTGATCAGTACTGTATGTATACTATGTGAGGTCCTAATATAGATAACATTTATTACTATATACGAAGTACTTTCGGTATTGGTAAAAGTGCTGATAAAGCAAGTGGTTATTTTTATCACAGTGAAACAACTTGCAAAGTCTGATAAAAAGCATTCTTGACCATATCAACAACACACCAGAATTCACTTCCTGCCATTTGGCATGCAGACTAACACAATTACATGCAGATGTAGAGCACTTACAGAAGCCACAGTTAGGACTGTACTTGAAAGGGTCATTTAGGTCTTGGCAGTAGATGTAGACCCTCTTTCTCTAGCTTTTCCACCCCTGAAAGTCCTACTATGCTGCACTTAATTTTCCACTGACGCTGGGGTCCAAAGGAGGGAAGTAGGTGATCCTGGAAAAAGTATGTCTAAAACTTTTAACTATAAGTTGAGGAGCTTTTAAAATCAATCATTTACATATTGGAAAACAGGCCTATTATTGTGGAGGGTGTTGCTAGGAAACCAATGAAACAAACAAACAATAAACTAGTCCTGAGAAAAAGCCAGCTTTCAGTAAACCCTTTTTGGAGCAAAAATGGGCAAGATTTCTTCTTGTTTTCCCATAATGAGGATGATATTTGGCAAATGCAGCAGCTACTACTGATAACAAATAAAATACAAAGGATTGTATACTATCAAACTCAGACACAAATGGAAGTAGTTCTTATAATGGTAATCCTTCATCCCTGTTTAAAAAGCCTAACATTCTTTCCCATTTCAAACTATGATTTCCCCATATATTATACTAGGACCTCACATAAGATACATATGCTGTAGCAGTGAGTGACATGTCTGGGGAAGAGAAATGTATATGCATATGATGACTCAAACTTAAGTTTAATTTTTTTGTTTCATGATTTTACTGTGAGAAAGTTTTGTGTTGAGGGAAATAAAAAACATAACTGAGTTTGTGATAGTTTGCTGAATGTTGGTTTAGGGTTTTTTGTTTTCTTCTGTGATCACATAATGCTGTATCATATACATGCTGCCATGGTCAATGTGATGGGAGTAACATATCTAATCTGCTTATTGGTAGCATGTTACCAGGCGATAAAAATGTTACTGAAAAAGGAAAAAAAACCTTCACAAAGCCTGTCTTACTTCATGCTCACAGAAGCCATGTCACTCCAGCTTTGTACTGCTGTTGAATAATTCCAGAATATTTAGCACTGAAACATAGACTTTGTGTAATATCTAATCCTTGTATAATACCTTAAGTTATTCCAAAAATTGGGGTGTTCTTGAAATGTGTTTTTGTTCAGGTCCTGGCACAGCCACTTGGACGTGTATTCAAAATCGCTGCATTAGCTGAATTCCCAGACCCTGACCTGCTTGAGGCTGATGCCTGGAGGGAGATTTTCAGTGTGCCTTTTCTCAGAAAGAAAAAGAAAAACAGAAAAATGTCTCAAATTCTCTGTTGCTGGACACTAATACTGGCAGGACAGTAAGAAAATAGGAGTAATACTGTTGCTCCAGTGCATTATTCCAGATGTGAACAGGAGGGAAAGCTATAAACAGGAAAATGTATTTTTGTCCATCAACTTTCTACTGTACCAGAATTCTTGGAGTGGGTACAAAATACATTTTATTCCTTGAACACAGCAAGATAAAAATGTGCATTATTCTTTATTATAAGCTAAAAGAGCAGTATCACTCATCATTTAGTAAAATACCTCTCATAAGTGTTCTTTAAAAAGAAGAAATAACTGAAAGGCTTTTGTCATTTGCAGCGTGGGATTTCAAAAGTTTTTCCCTTTATACTATGAGTCATGTGAAAAGAATGTCTCGACCAAAAAAGTGTGGGGGGGGATCAATGGGCAATACACTTTATATTGAAATTTAACATTTCAAAATAGCTGGAGAAATAACATGGAATTAACAGAGTTTTTCAGGATTTGAAAAATCTTTTGTAAAATCAGAGAAATAGTAAGCAAAACAAAATTAAATGGCTCCTTACAGGCTCACTTTTTTTGATTATATGTAACGAAATGGTCTTTTATATAGTGTTTGTTAAACTTGCAGGACTAAAATCTTAACAACTCTTAGATTTCTGACTGAAAGCTAAAGCTTCTATAATTTGCCCTATAAAAGAACAGCAACAGAAGCCCCTGAACACCACGTTTCAGAGTTAAAAACTGACATTGCCTTTTCCAGCCACATGACTTAGATGAGGAAATTAAGGAAATGCAAAGGAAAACTGCAAGAGTTATAGATTGTTAAGGAAGCTAACTGAAATTCTTCAAATCAAATCTCCACGCATTAAATAGTAGACTAGCAGGATGTGTAAGAAGGAACATAAAATAATGTACCGCAGCTCCAGAAAGAGGAAAAGGTGCCAAAAGGAAGCTTTTTTTTCGTTTGCTGTTTTTCTGCTTTGAGATTCATGGGGGCATATTTGTTCCCTGTTTAGAACCTAAATGAATGTGTTTTGCATGAGGGAACTAATGGTGTTGGGGTAATGATGTTTCAGTTCACATGTGCAGCAGAGTCCCTCCGCAGCCATTAACACTTTCTGTGGGGCTGGCACTAGCTCAGTTTTTGTTTGTAATTAAAGTATACCATGAACAAGCCTACCAGGCATGCTTTGGCAGTCTTGTGCCTATCCTCAAATCCTTCTTTTGCAGCATGGTAAAATTAGAAGGAATGCTAGCTTGTCATGAAAATACTGGCCTGGCTTTCTTCTTTCTGATTCTTTGCGTAATGAAAGTGTGGCATCTGGGGCTTTCTCCAGCCCCAGATTTGTCCTTTCTCCAGAAAAACCAAAAAAGAGCTACTGTGTGCTGTTGATGTTTGAGCTATGTAAAACATAGCTGAAACCTACAATAAAAGAACACAAAACAATTTCCCACTCCCTTGCATACCAGCTATGTAGTTGTATAGGTAATAGTTACTTGGCCTTTTATGGGTAATAATACTAGTTAAGAAATTTATACATAAACTAGTTAGGAGATGGAAAGTTAAACTCGGAAAAAATACTAAGGTAAACTTGCTACATATATTTCAGTAATGTAGTCTATCTGCCTTGAATGTTTTTCCTACCATGCAGTGTGCATGGTAATGTGCAAGAATAGATTCATATACCTGTGCATGAATTTTAGAAGTCAATAGTCTTTAAACGTGATATGGACTTTTAAGAATACCTCAATTCACAAATATGCTGAAATAAAATGGATTGTAAATCTTGCATTGTTTTTGTTCACAGGGTAAAACATCAAGTGGAATACTTAGGTCTGAAAGAAAATATTCGAGTAAGAAGAGCTGGCTATGCTTACAGGCGGGTTTTCAAGAAGTTTTTGCAGAGGTAGGGTAATACTCATTTTGAAGTATTACAGCACAGTTGTTTTACATGATGATGAGGAAAACAAGAAGTTGCAAGTTTTGAAAGCTTCTCATCTCCCACTTACCCTGTCCTTTTTCCCCATTTACCTTGCTCACGATCTAGGCTACACAGAGATTTGAAAGTGTCTTAAAGACTGGCTTTGTGTCTTTGAAAGTCTTCATTTTTCTGTAAACTTGCCTAAGACCTCAGTTCTTTTTGTAGTGCTATGAGAGTGTTCCTCAAAGTTAAAAAGAGTTAAGGGAACTCTTAACTCATTTATGAGCTGCAGAGCCTGGAATCTGAGTGTCTAGCTGGTAGCCTTTGTTTAAAATGTTACCGCTCTAGCTCTTCCAACTCTTCTTTCCCAATGACAGAAGATAGGTAAAGAAATACATGCCTGCTGTTCAAGTGTAAAGAGTAACCTTAGCTTAAATTGCTCGTTATATCCTTCTGCTGGTGTTAAAATAGCTGGGAATGGTTACAACTCAAACCACTGCAGCTGCTTACTGAATGAAAGCAAGTCAGAGCTCTGTAAGATCAATCCTTTTTTTACTGTCTTAGGACCAGCTGTTCAGATGATTAACTACCTCCACTAGCTAATGAAATCCTCTTAAATAAGAGCAATTTCAAGATTTATACAACATTTAGCTTCTGTTTTTTAGAAAATTCAGACACACAGCTAATAAATGCCCAAATCAGGGCATTACATGACAAATCAGCTTTTGTTGGAAGTCTTTGTGTTACATTTGAGAATATAAAACAAAAAACCCAATCAGTTGTTGCAAGGAATGGAGTATAATTAATCAGACAGCACAGAACAAAGCCACTGATAATATTTCATGATAATACAGAGAATGTTGTAATCATCTAGTGATAGGCAGACCTAAAAAATTTTAAAGTATGGACTGAATTTTCATTATGGAACAATTTTAAATCCCTTTTTCTTCACAATCTTCAAGCCCAGACATATAAACATGAATATGCTTCAGGTTGCATTACTTAACACAGACTGTTGCTGAGACAGAATAACAGATTAATAATGTGTATTAAAACTAGTCTCCACAGTTGTTGAACACTGATTGTAAGGGCTGTGCAGGTCTAGAGATCTGCCTGAGAGGTCAGCCCAAAGGAAAGCTACATGGTACTTCTGGAAGGTGAACAGATTTCTGTATTTCACTTTATATGTAGAGATCCACAGGCAACTGAAACCATTCTTTATGGAATTCATCCGTTTGTTTCAAATTAGTCTTGTTAAATTTAATATTTTGTTATGAGTAAAACTCTTCCTGCAACCTTTCCATTCACAGTTCCCTAGCATCCAGAACAAGCTCTGTTCTGACACCCTGAGTCAGTGTGAGTAAAAGTGGGCTGAGGCATGGGATGGACAGGAAATGCATGCTTGTACACTTGTTTTCATTGGGTGTTCCTTGGCAGCTCCATATAAGTGGAGATTTCTGGGCTGAATAGACTTTTATGTACAAAATTTACATTTGCATGCAAAAAGCCACAGTCACTGAAAAAGCCTATGTGTTTCAAAGCATAACCAGTCTGAAAGCTGAACTCCATACTCCCATATTTAGACATAGGACCTAACTGCTCACTGTGAATTTATAATAGATAATTTTTGGGGGGCAGTCATGATTTCAAATTGTTTCGGAAGCGTTTTAAGAACACACTTAGCACTTCTGCCGAAATACTCTGTAAGATCGAATTACACAAGCTTGAAAAACCTAGATACGTGGATATTGACATGACCAGTTTAATGGGAAGCATGCACAAGTACGTTAGAGCAAAGTGCTATTTCTAAACAGCAGTGAACAATGATAGAATTGTCACGTTATAAAATTGTGAAGTGCTTAACTGGTGCATGTTGTAGAAAAATCTGTTTCTTCTGCCCTGCAGGCTTGTCACACCAGTAAAATGTATGAAGTTAATTTGAGTTTATGAAAAAGGAGAATTTCAAGTGTATTCTTACTTTGTACCCGAGAGCTTTACTTATGTTAAAAGGTCTTAAGTCATGTTTTCCCTGTGCCCTCCTTTACAGCTCAGAAGATGTAGGAAAGCATTTGTAACATGCTGAAATGTAGTGTCAAATTCTGTTGTGTGGAAGATAGCAGTTTCAAATGCCTTTATTAAATCAGCTCCTTTAAATTCAGACTTGCTTAGACCCACCTATACAACTATTCTGTTGGCAGTACATGATGAACCTGCAAAAGAGGCTGTTAATTAAATAAGCTGGGAGTTCCTTTAACTTACAACTCCTTACTAGGTTGCATCTATTTATCCCATAATACTGATAAATTACATAAATATGTAAGTGTACGCACTGTCTGTAAACATAGATTATGTATAATATACTTCTATCTTTAAGATGGTATAAGAGCTACTTTGTTACACCATCATGCATAGTACGTGAGCATAAGTTAGCTTCCTCTTTTCATATACTTGTTATTCAGAGGTGTTTGGTTTTTGTGATACATTCCTTTTTAACTGTTTGCTATTTTTCTTTGCGTGGTATTGTTATTTAAGTTGCATGACACTGTTTCTGCTTCCTGGCTGGATAACATTTTAGATATGACAAGAATGAGTAATGAACATTCCCTTAATGAATTTTCTAACAATTCCTTGTGTGATTTTTGAGAACATTTTATTAGGAGCTGCCTAAATCTTCTTAAGAAACAAGAACTTGGGAATTACAACAAACTGAACTCCATACTTTATAACTTTTTTCATTAGCTCAGTAGTTTTACTAATAAGCATGATTTAGTTTATATAACTCAAGTATGCTTAAGGCATTAAAAAAATTGTCATGAGTAAAGAACATAAAAGATTTGGGGGAGAAATTTGTCACAACATATTTAGCTGTTCTCCAGTCTCATTGTCAAAGGAGTCTAAATAGCTGCTGCTAGAGAGTTACTTATCCATAGACACGCTGAGGCAGCTAAAGCTCATCAGTGCTCCTTGGCAGGCAGTAGAACAAGGCAGCTTTGTAACTCCAGCCTGGCAGTTCCAAAAGCCCAAGTTAAGCCTGAGAAAGTGGACAGTTTAAAAGGGGCTGCAACCTGGCATCCTCGTTTTCAAGGCTTAGAGAGAACACTATGAGACAGAAGACTACCAGCCTCTTCCTATCAAAGACATAGTATGGTAGCACTTCCCTGCCTCCTTCTTTAGCCCTTTGTGTGGTCAATTCCCAGTGTTCCCTCCAGGTAGCACCAACATCACTATATCTTCCCTCTTGTACCAGAGGCCAAGCCAAAGGCTTTCTGGGATAAAGCCAAGAATGGCTCCTTGCTAAATGCAGACCAGCTGTTGAACAGGTGGGTTAGGAGCATGAGCTGGCTACAGAGAAGGCTTGAGTGGGAAATTGGCCACATGCTTGGGAATGAATCTAGAATACCAGGGGTGTAGGTACTTAAATTTGGACCATAAGTCATTGCACCATAACCTTGCCCTGGACTTAAAGAGATCACAGCAGAACTTTCTGTAATTAACTACTGCAGTTACCAAATAGTAACTTAGCATCTGGAAATAGGAGACTCCTGGACACTGTTGCCCTTCTCATTGCAGTTGTTTGGTCTTGCTAAACAAGTAACATCTTAATTCTGTGCATCTTCCCACACTCCAAGCTTCTGTAAGTCCTGCTGAAACTGTCAGCCCTCCCCCCAGGGTAATACTGACTAAGAGTCAGTGGTATTCTGCTGCTGTTTGATGTCAGGTTTTAATCTCTTCTCCTTGGTGGTTAAGGTACGCCATTCTGACCAAAGCAACCTGGCCTTCCTGGAAAGGAGAAGAGAAACAAGGAGTTCTCCACCTGCTTCAGTCAGTCAACATGGATCCTGACCAATACCAGCTTGGGAAATCCAAAGTCTTCATCAAGGCTCCGGAGTCTGTAAGTGTGGCAGAACATGAGTCTTTAAATATGAAACTGTTTTGCTGAAATAAAAAGCCTGCCCGCTCAGAAGTTGAGCATGATCTCTGCTAAGGTGGGAGAAGCGTAAGAATATAAGTCAAGCTGGGCAGGTCTATCACAGGTGCCTCGAGGCTGTACAGGGATTCTAGGCACTTTTATAACAGGCACTGAACATAAGGACCCTGCGTGATTTTGACACTAATATGAGGAGCATTAAATGCATCAAGAAGAGGAGATGGGATATGAAGATGCTTTGGTGTCAGGTTGCACATGGTGACATAACATCAGGAAATCTGTCATATGAAGGAATATCATGGCATGAAAACCTATCTATGACCATTAGCCCAAGAAAATAGGTCCTTTTCTCAGTGCAAGAACTACTGATGAAAGTAGAATAGCCCCCAGTTATAGTAAGGATATTTTACGCATCGTTGTGTAAATCAATGTTCCAGAATGACTGCAACTTGAAATCCCATTCAGGGAGAACATTAGGGAGGCATCATAAGGCTGTTTTTGTCCTGTGGCTACTAAACTGCACAAAATCTGCTGGAAAAAAGTTTTCTTACATCACTATTCAGGAAAGTTGTCAAGGAAAAAACTATGCTCTACTCACCATCATGTATTCCTTTTATCAGAAGGAATCGGGCTTAGTTTGTATAGCTCAGCTTGCAGTTGAGCATTAGGTGGTTTCTTAGTGCTTTACCTGAAGTTACATGTCAAAATAAAAGCAGAACACTTCTATTGCTATCACTTGCTTTTCCGGAAACATATTTTTGCTCTGTAGAGCAGCAGTAATTCAAGCAATGACACTGCTGTGCCCAATCACATGGGAAGATCTTTGTTAAAGGGAAAAAGATAATACTTCTCCAAGTCGTAATAGAAATTGTGTTGTTTCTATGATAATAAGGTAAGATAGTATCATCTCTGTTCAGGAATAATGGGACTTTACATTCCTGACATCTGAGAGACCTGTTTATGTAATAAAGCATATAGGGTTCAAGATGTAGGTTAAGGTGCACGTTGGCAGAGCAGGAAATTCTAGTATAGGATTAATCCTACTTAGTCATTGCAAGCAACACCTTAGCTAGCCAACTATGAGGAAGTGTGAGCTTTATCTGCTTTCCTCTGTAGCACAGGCCGTGATTTATTTCCTAAGATTATTGGGGAGTTTTGTCTTACAAAAGTCGGTGCGATAGCTTTGGACATTAGTGGATGTCTTTGATAATCTCTTCTTGTGACGTTACAGTTGTGACTTAGTCCTTCACTGATGACCTCAAGTTTATTACAGGGTGGTGGCGAGTTCACATTCTGATGAAGTATCTATTTGAATTAATACAGACAACTTAGTTGCTTGTAATTACAAGGGACCAGAATTAGTAATTTAAGCAGTATCTTCTAGTCCTGTTGTTCATTGTCTTACACTGTAACAAACCTGATCTTCTATTCACTGTGAAGTTATTTTGCATCCATGCTGTTCATTGCAGTTAGTTACAAACCAAATACAATTTCAGTTTGGGAGATAAACAATTAAGGGAAGAAACAAAAATAATTGTTGTGTGATGGCTGCTTTCTCGACGTTATGCTACTTTATGGATAAATCAATCCAAAATTTGAAAATACTTTTGTTTTCAGTTTTATGTAATAAATCATATAAGGAACTATCTTCCTTTCCTGGCTGCTGAAATACCCTAAGCTTGGTATGTTTGTCCTTCATAAAAGCATAGATTTTCAGCAGCCATATCTTCACAAATGGGGTGGGTCTTATGCCTGGTTTTTTTCAAAGAAAGAAATGAAGTAATTTGCTGGTGTCTGTCTTCTTAATGTCTGTCTTGGCTTAATAGCCAAGTGGCAAGTGTTCATATAGGATTGATGGTTCTAGTTCCCCTTCACTCTGAAGTGGCCAAAATGTTAATATTCTGTACCCCAACATCATATGCTACTAGGTTGTTTCCAAGAGGAAGAAATTGTTTTCCAATGAATGCATCTTCCCATTCTAATGCATTTTTGTAATACTAAGTCCTGGTTGCATGTATATGCCATTTAATGGCATATCTGTGAGTTTTACTGAAGGGCAGTTCTACAGGTTAAGACAACATTTTCTTTAAAAATTTATTTTTTGAAAAAACATGAAATCCATTTTTAAACAAGTACTAAAAGTAGTCTGGGCCTTTTTAATTTTAAGTTGAAAATTTTTCTATGAGCTGAATGTTCTAAAGCTTGATTTATATCTTTGCATATCAAAGACAATCATCTCTCATCTTATATTACTAAAAGTATTGGCTAGGGTTATATTACTTTTGAGAAAAATCTTTTAGATGGTAAGTAAAAATTTTTCTTTCTACCACCAAAAAAACCACCTGTTGTGGTTAATTAGATAAAAATACTTGATTTGCTCAGGAGTGTGAGCAATACATATATATATATATGTAATACATATATACATTATAATAGATATTTTAGGAAAGAATTCATGCAGTATTTTTATTTTATAACTTACGAACCATATTTTAACTTGGTGTTTTCATTGAACTTCCTTGATTGTGACCTTCAACTACAGGTGATAGACTATTTTGCATTGAGATTTTGTAATTAGCATTGTTGTTAGAGAAATAAATGGTGAGTGTTCACAAGAGTTGACATCAACATTGTTACTGTAACCTGAATTGCACAAAGGCTTGATCGTGCCCCTGCTGAAGCTGAGGAAGTTTTTGCATCAGGAGCACTCATACCTGTGTGCTGAAACCCTATCTAGTGCTTGTGTGTTTGTGAAGAGATTTTTTTTTTTAACAAGTGTGCTGTAGATGGAGAGTTGCCAACTGTGAAGTAAGGTTTTATGGGTGGCAGAAAGGAGGCTTCATTATTTACATTTCCATCAAACACCTGAATAAATAACTCTGTACAAGAGCAAGTGAGGTTCTGCGGAAATGGTTTGCACTAGATCAAGTTTCCTTTTTAAGATCAATATGAACAACAGTATTTTTCTAGATTTGCATGGTTTAGGGCAGCTAATTAAAAAAAAAGGATCCTAAAGTCCAGGTTTGCTTCTTGATATATACTATTTTTACTAGTTTTATCTCTTTTGAAAGCTAGAAGAAAAGTCCTTATGAATATTTAACACACAATAGAGGGAAGTAATAAGCAACAGTCATGTCAGTGGACTGATTTAGTACTGTAATTGTTAGCCAAATGCTTGTGCTTCTGATGAGACAAGAAAACATTTAACTAAACTTAAAGTATGTAAAAGGCTATAATGAAATATGCTGTATCCTACAATAATTTTGAAGTTGTTCTAATGCATTAAATTTACATATATTTTAGTGGGATCTGGGAAATTCTCAAAAAAGGGGATGCACCTTCCATTTCCTTTTTGATAAAACCAGCATTTCCCCTTGAATTCTGACAACATTTTAGACCCAAAAATCTTACTATGTCATACTGAAATACAAGATCATAGTTGTAAATCCTGCAGCCAGCTGACAAGCTTCACTGCTGGGAAAGAATGGAGCCAATGGACACGAGAGTATGAAATTCAGACAGGGAAGAAAGTTGCGTGAGAACACAGGACGTTATCTTACACATTGCACAGATCCCCATAGACATGGTAACATTCTGACAAGAGAAATGTGAATTTTGGAGAATGTGAAGATGGAGGCTGGATGAATGCCCAGTGGAGAACCTTGAGTCGCACCAGTAGAATATTTCAGGGAGAATCCATATTCCTCTTCCTTCATCATTTGGTATCAAGATTAATGGGTAGACTGGTAAGAGCCAGAACCACTCCAAGCATCAGAGATTTCTTCCAGAAAAGGTTACTTTAACATTCTGATCTCACATCCCATAGTTGTGGTAGAGGCACCAGCTTGGACCTAGAGTAGAATGCACTGGAAAGTTGTTGAAAGTGAAATATGGCTTTTTCTTGAACTTCTCCTGTAAAATGTTTGACCCACCCTACTGTCTTTTTGTACAGCTATTTTTGTTAGAAGAGATGAGAGAGAGGAAGTATGATGGGTATGCCAGAGCCATCCAGAAGGCATGGAGGAAGTATGTGGCCAGGAAAAAATACGTCCAGATGAGAGAAGAAGGTAGGTCCTAACTTCTGATGACAGATATTTCATACATGGTTCCAGGAACAGAAGGAGTGCCACAAGAGATGAAGGAAATATCTCCCTCTCTCTAGAGCAAACCATTGCATTGCAGATGACTCTCTAGGAATGACTGCAAATTGTTGGACCCCTAAGGTACCACTGATGAGGTTGGCTGCTCTGCATGCATAGATTTCTTGGACTATCCAGTGTTTTGCTCTCAAAACAAAGCCAGACTCGGTAGGACAGAGATCAGGGATATTCCAGGGGAAGTGAAAAAGGAAAAGCTTCCCACAGTTATACAGGACTTAGATGGTCTGTAGATGATACAAATCAATCCAAGGACTGTAATGTTCAGTTGCATGCATGACCTGGGTTATGTGAATGAACAACATTCTTGGTTTGGAAGAGTTAATCTTTAATTCCCAGCAATGAGTGAGAAATTCCTTAGTTCCAGAAGTGCTCCCGATTCATCAGAACTACTGAGCTTGCCATCAGTGTATTTCATTAGGAATGGATTTAATAGTCACATGGATCCTTATATAAAGGATTAGTAGGAGTGCTTCATTATTTTTTCCATATTATAAACAATTTGGTTATCACTTCTTCCCGAAAAGTTCTGCTTGAAACAGTTAGCTCTTTCAGATCATGAGTTTAGAAAATTTAGTAAATTTTTAATCAATGTTTATTTTTGGTATTTAAGCATCAGATCTACTGCTGAACAAGAAAGAGAGAAGACGGAACAGCATTAACAGGAATTTTGTGGGAGATTACATAGGCATGGAGGACCATCCAGAGCTACGCCAGTTTGTGGGCAAACGGGAGAAGGTTGATTTTGCAGACACCGTAACTAAGTATGATAGACGGTTTAAGGTAGGTTTAAGAGCAACATCCACTGATAACTTAGTTCTGCTAGGGAGTTACAGATGTCTTTACCATCCTTTAACAGAAACTCCACCATGTTAGTGTCATACCACCTAGGATACCAGCTTGAAAAAAGTATCTTTGACCTAAAAGACACCTAGTGAAGCAGTTACACCCTTGTGATTGGAACATTGCCATTGTCAAACCTGTTGTCCCAGGATGAAGGCTTTATGGGACTTGCTGGGCAGAAAGCTACATTAGGAAATGGGGAGCAAAGCTACTTTCCTGTGCTGTGCAATCTGACTCTGAGGTCGTGTGATTAATTACATCAGTATTTTTTTCACTTGAACCAAAGACTAACAGTATTGCCCCAAATCATAGTACATTATATATCTTTGGAACAGCATCACAACATTAGTGCGTTGATCAGTGCATAGCTATGTATTTTCAAACAATTTTGTATTTCAGAGTGTGAAGCGAGATCTTGTCCTCACTCCGAAGTGCATATACCTGATTGGGCGTGAAAAGATAAAGCAGGGTCCAGAGAAAGGCCAAGTGAAGGAAGTCTTAAAACGAAGAATGGAAGTGGAGAGAATTCTTTCTGTTTCTCTAAGGTGGGTACCTTGAAAATATCTTCTCATTGACAGGGGGGAAATAAGTTGATTGATGAAGGGTGAATTTCTTAAGCTGTATTCATTGAATCTTGTAAACAAAGAAAGCTGAAGCCTTATTTTCACTCCCAGCCCTAGTAAGTGTGTTACAACAATAGATGTTTACGCTTATAGCCAACACACATTTTCTGACTAGTTGTTATAAAGTTTCACTTACACTGGGTCTCACCTATCTGGTGTGTCCCCCAAAATGTATTCTGTGAAGCATATATTCACCATGCACAAGCAGGTTCTAATAAGTTTTGGCTCAAGCGTGTATCCCAGAAATAATTCTTACTTATGGAAGTACACCTTGTACGTGCCCACTGCTTCCTAAAGGGAGCTACTAAAACCTTTATTTCTAGTTGGATTTCACATCACTTCTGTTGACTGAATGTCAAGCCAATGCCAGATTGCAGGAAATATCTATCTGAGGTGTCCACACAGAGCTGAGAAACCCAGTTAGGTGAGCAAAACCAGGAAGAAACTGCCCATGAGAGCAGTGGATTCTTGCCTATATCATTTAATCCCTTTGAAGATGAGTGAACGAAGTCTCTGGATACCTCTGCATTTGTTATTACAGTTTATCAGAGCTGGTAGCTGAATGTAATTTAATACAAAAGAATACTGATCCAGGGCAACAAGTGTACTTTAAATATTGAAATAAATTACTATTTTAATGAAATACAAGTCTACTCTTGAGTACTGTGTATTGATAGCTACTGCAAAGGTTTTTTAGTATATGCTTATAAAACGTTCCCATTAGCATAGCCAGAAGTCTTCTCACAGACATTATCCAGTACTTAAACCCAGCAGATTTCACATTTTTGCAGAATTCTTCACAGCCATTTCAAGATTAGGGAAAGGTTTGCAAGATGTGTCTGCTCACAGTACCATTTCCAAAACCTGTGGTTTATTTATCATACATCTTTATAAAGAAAGTGGCAACAAAATAACTGCAGTAAATCTAGGTTAAAGATGAGAGTGGAACCTGTCTTTTTAGTGCTCCGAGTTTGGACTGTGTTCTGTGCAAACCTTGAACAGATTGCAGCCAGACGCTTCAATTGGGCCTGTAGCATTCCAAAGGCATAGTCACATTGAGTCAGCTAAAAGAATGGCTGCCTGCCAAGTTAGTGAAAGCTGTTACACTCCTCTCACATGTAAATAACAGTTCCACAGAACCTTCTGAAGCAAAACCAAATGTGCTTAGTTCAGAGGAAGTATGTATGTTACATTATGTCTAATAATGTTTTGAACTTAGCTTATTGGGGTTTATTTTGTTGTAAAAAACATTGGGGTTTGTATATGCTAAAAGTAGATTCAGAATTACAAGCTATCAAACTGGCCAGGTATTCCTCCAAAACCAAACCCTAAAAAACCCATGGGGTCAAGAGGGCTTTTCCCTGTTACCAAGTTAGTATGACCCGAGTTCAAAATGGGTCTTAATCAAGGGATCTCTTAACTCCGTATTGAAGTGGCTTAGTAGTAATACAACGCCCTGGCTGCAGAGGCTGTAAAAGTTACTGCTTCTCTTGAATCTGAGATAATCCTGTCTCAGTGACAAGAGCTAGCACTTGTGATTTTTAACAGTCTTCAATTAGTAAAACTAGAGTGAAACCTTTATTTAGTACGTGTATTACCTACTGTGTATTTTTGGGGAAGAAAAAAAACCAACAAAAAACCCCAAAACAGTTTTTCAGACATCAGGCTCAAAGCAAAAATTGTGTTAGCTCTAACTTGCATTCTCTCATGTGTTTTCAAAACTCCAGTTTATTGTCCCTATAGTTTAAATTTTATACTCCTCTAAGATAATTGATTTCTGACTGGTTTTGAAGTGAATCTTAAACCTCTGCACTTGAAGAAAATAATTGCAATAACGTTCTTCATGAGCTTATCCAGAATGGATTTAGCGCTGTTCTTTATTGCAGCCTCAAAGTTTTGTAAGTTTCAAATCTTATTTGTTCTATTTTTCATGCAATATTAAATTTTAACTAAATCAATACAAAATGAAATACATTTTAAATGGAAGGGGAGAGACGATAACCGGATTCTTGCATTGCTAGCTAAACAATATATCAAGAAACCCATGCGCAATATATTGATGTGAGCTTGTATCAATACGCTTATACACAACAAAGGCAGAATAATCAGCACTATTGACATGTATTAACAGCAATTAACACTACATAACAATTTAAATTACTAAAGGAGTTGCAATTTAAAGTGCAAATGCCCAACTTGGAATTTGTTCAGGGTACTGAGAATGACAACCCATACTGTCATGGAAATGTTCTTGCATTTTTAGTAACAATAAATAACTCAGCATTATAATTCATCTGATAAGGAATGACACAGGATATCCTAACAGTACTGTGAAGTCAGACTCTTTGCCAAATCAGCAAAAATAGGACCACTGACTGGATAATATTTACTATAGGTCTTGGGCTTTTCTTACACTTCTTGTTCAGAACCTTGCTGAGGCTCTTGATTTGCCTGATGGTAGGAAAGGTCATGCTCTTACGCTATTTTTATAGATTTCTTATTGCTATTTTGAATACTAATTAGGTAAGTTTGTAGTTTCATACACCTTTTTCCAAACTATGGGAAAGATTTCACAATTTGAAAGGAGATTATGGAGTGCACAGGTGGCAGGCAGATTTTTAGAAAAACAGGCAGTGACACAACTCATCCTTTACCTAATGTCTCAAGTGGGTTAGAATTGTATTTTCATACCTGACAGTCAAGAGCATCTCTAGCAGCACTATGAAGCTATTTTTAATTCTGTATGAAAAGGTACTCACAGTCTGCAGAGGAATTCATAGTCGTCAGTAACCAAATGAAAAGTGAGGGTCAGAAAGCTAGGCCTGCTTCCCTCTTTCAGATTTATAGAGTCAGCAATCAGGCAAACCAGCTGGGAGAGGAAAAGGGAGGAGCATGCTCAGAGTGGAAAGCTGTTGGTTGCTAAGTAATTGGAATCAGAAAACAGTGGTGAGGGCAAATAGACTTAATCTTGTCTCTGATAGAAGGTGGAGGCTTTTTCTTTCTGAGCTGAATGTTCTTTGAGTTCCTTATATGCTATTATTAATTTACTTTTGGAGTTACTCTGAAATGTTGAAGCAATACATACATAGATTTAGGTGAGATATCAGCACCTTCTTTGTGTGATGTATTGCTATGCAAGCCATTGAAAGAAGCTGTTTCTTAGTGATAGGTACGTAACTTTGGCTTGCCTTCACCTGGCTGCCAAAGCCACCTGCCTGGTTTTCCATAGCCTTAAGCACTGCAATGCTTATACATATACTGTTTTTTAGAAAAAACGGTGAAAACTCATAATGAATGCTAATTCTAAATCCAACAGGATTTGAAAGGTCCATTTCTCCAGAGAGAAATGCAAACTGAGAGTGCCTTTTTCACTTAGTAGGTGATATCTAATGTATTGAAATAAAATGCTATTATAAAATAGTATTTTTTTATATTGGTAATAGCAGCAGCAGATTGACCAAGAACATTGACAAAAGAGCAGAGAAGCTTGGGCTTCAGACTCCCTGCAGCGGACTAAACAACCATGAAAAGGAGCCATGCATTTTCTGCCAAGAATACCTAACAATATCTAACTAATGCTTCTTTCTTCACTGGTTGTACTCCATTTTGTGAAATATCACGCTGGTGATGCAATAAGGTTACACAATTCTCAGCTCTGCACAGTTGTCAAAAGCCCTGTGCTGTCTCTTCTCCCAGGCACACATTTTCCTACACTAGCTAGCACTCAGGTGGCTGCATGAGGGTATGGATGAGACATTGAAAAGTAAGGGAAGCAGAAAATTAATCTACCAGGAAAGGGCAGGGGATGGATTGTAGCACAAAGGAAGGAACAGAAATATGCATGAATAAAAAGGGTGAGGGGCAGAGGGAAGACTGCCCCTTCCGACAGCACAACAATGTTAACTTGATTTAAACTGGTTATGAAATCACACATAAAATTAGAGGTTTCTTGTCACTTCTAATCCAATGCAAATGTGGGTGGCTGCCCAAGGGGCAGTCCTCTCCCTCCATCATTATGCTCCCACCATTTTCTTGTGATGAGCTCCCAAGCTCATCCAGTGGGATGCTAACCAGCTTCAAAATACAATTAGTTTACTGTGGAATCAGTAACCATAGAGAACCATAGAGCATCCTATGGTTGTTTATATGCTATTCAAGTCAGGAAGTGGGGACCCATGGCCTCCATTTTCAGCTCTTACAGTTTTATTTGGAAAGCTTTCTTTATACCTCTTTGTAGAGAGGATGCAGAAGCAGACAGGCACCAATGTAGTTATAGCTAGGAAGTATGCCAACATGCTGTTAAAAGGAAGAATGATACACATATAAACAAATTACAAGCATGCTGGAACAATAATAATCCTGGCTAGGACATGACAGAACTGTTCTTGCTGTGGGGACTCTGGAAGGGCAGAAATCAGCCTTGCAAATTACTGATGTGGTTATCATTTTCTGTGAAGTGGTTTGCAGCATCTTCTGCAGGTGTAAATAGGAGTTGATCCAAAGGTGGCAATGGAACCCAACATGTGTGGTTTTTATACTGTGCTAAACCAGTCCAAGCTAAAGCCAATGGAAAGTTGAAAGCTTTCATTCCGAATTTGCTTGCTTTGAGTTTTCAGTCTTACTTTAGTAACCTTCAAGTTTCCAATTCACGTCTAATCAGAAGTTTTGCTATTATTGAAGAGATGGACTTTAATTATAACTTTAATAGCACGTGTTCTTTTGATAACAGTAATTACTGTAAAATCACTAAGTAGCATGCCTGTCTCTCAAAAAGGATTGTTTCAGATATTCCATTATCAACTCCTGAAAAAAACCCAAACCTGTTCTCAGAGAGCAAGACTCTATAATTAATGCTGCTTGGACTTCCTTATGCTTTTAAAAATTAACCCTGAATACTCTGCAAATGTCCTTATAATGCTGGCTCTATTTGCTGATGAAATTTTAATCTGAATGGTATATGCTCTGATTTCTTTCCAGCACAATGCAAGATGACATTTTCATTCTACACGAACAGGAATATGATAGTTTGCTCGAGTCGGTCTTCAAAACTGAGTTTTTAAGCCTCTTATCAAAACGATATGAAGAGAAAACGCAAAGAAAACTACCTCTGAAATTTAGCAATACGTGAGTTATGTTTTTTCAATGGGCTTTTAAGAATAAATAATATTTATTCTTGCTGCCAAGGCAAATTGAGTGAGTGCTAGTTATTGAGCACGTGGATAGTGTGGAAATGCTGGGAGAGAATATATGTGTGTGTGCACGTGGAAAAAAAATATAAATTGGAAAGATTGAAGTATATGTATGCAAAAATGTTTACTCCCAGAACATGCACAAGGCCCACTCCTAAAGCATATATTGGCATATACATGCCAATGTATATACATATATATACACACATCTAATGTATATATACATCTAATGGTATATACAGAAGAATGTTTAGGAACAGAGCACTCTAGCTTTCTCCAGTAGAGTCTGATGTTTGATGGCAGACACGTCTCTTACTCAGACCTTTTCACATTTTTCCTCAAAGCTCACTGTACTCTCTATCCTCTCCAGGGCATCTTAAACTTCCTTTGAGTAGCTCTACCAGGAAAGTTAAAAGATCAATTAAGAACATTTTTAAAAGCATGAAAAAGAGATTTAATTGGTTTGTTTATGTCAGCTAAGTCACTCGGGGAATACAGATTCTCAGTCTCAGCTTTTTATTTTTGTATTTCTAAGTTATCTGCTGCCAAGTGATATTGTCCTGGTTTGACATAGAAATGCTTTCTGGTTTTTTATTCATGTGTTCATGTGCTTATATTAGACTTGAAGTGAAGCTGAAAAAGGAGAGTTGGGGGCCCTGGAGCAGTGGTGGTTCTCGACAAGTGCAATTTATGCAAGGCCAAGGAGATATAGCCATTCTCAAGCCAAGTAATAAAGTGCTGCAGATCAGCATCGGACCAGGGCTACCAAAGAATTCTCGTAAGTATGAATTTCCTTTAGAAATTAGTGAATAATTTAGAAATTTAGAGAATCATTGACTCCTCCTCTCCATGCTTGCCTCTAGCCTCAGCATGTTCTTTATTATTTCTCCGTAACACTTAAAAGAAGATCCAGGTTATAGATCCTAATGATACAGCAAAATTCCCCGCTGCTCTACAGTCATGATGGAATTTTGTTACTTTCACTATATACCAACTGTTTGAGTTTTCAACTCAAAGCTGAATTTCAACTGAAATGTCTGAAATTCTTTGCCCTGCGGCAAAAGAAATGAGGGCATTTAATCATGTAACATAGTACAAATGGCACAATTAGCCAAGCGTTTTGGGGAAGTCTGTCACTCTGCTCTGAGCTCCTGCAGTTCCTACAGTTTTGCTGATGAAGAAGGGTCTGCATCAGGACAGGCCAGGTTGTGATATGAGGAAAGGTAACCCCTGTACGTCACCAAAGATTGAGCTGCAAATATACCAGCCTCTCAGGTTTCGTGTCCTACTTTTTTCTCATACTAATTGCTGATCAGAAACAGTATAGTCAAAAGTACTGCTGTGCCAGCTATCCATGGTTTATAAACAAGTTCATAAAGCTAACGGTCTTTTGGGCCTCGTTTACTGTAGCCTTGAGACAGCTTTACTTTATATCCTGCGGCTGAACTGGATCACAAAAGGGAGAACGTGCCTAAGTCATCCTTGTTGCACCTAAAGCTTTAGCACCTGGCCAACACTGTAGGAGTCAGATTCATTATTCATGAAGATCAGCTCTTTCTGATCACAGAGTAGGGATCTGGCAGCCAGAAGGACTTACCTAATTAATGCAATAGTGAAAGGGTAACAAAACGTTGCTGGTTTCTTTTAGGTCCTACTAGACGGAATCTTACCCAAAGTAGAGGGTATTCCAACAGGTCTCAAAGTCAGACTTACCCTATGAGAGCCGCACCGCCTCCTCCTGGTAAGTCCTCTTAGCCTCGGGCAAAAACAAAATTCCAAATTCAGGCTTTCGCTTTACTCTTGTCATCTGGTAATTTTTACCCATTAAAAAATCGTAGTAAAGGTTTAAAATCCCCTATAAAAGATCCTGTGTGGAAAACATACATTGTAGGCATTTTATGAAGTGTAGTGTTGGAGTCTGCGGACAATCAAACTGGGGTTCAAGCAGAGATATCCTGGTTGTCATGGACGCTAGCATGTTCAGCCGCTTAGTGTAAGACAGTGAATCCAAAACTAACCCTGTAGCCTTTTCCACTTTCCTTTTGAGGATAAAGCTATACACTTACCAAGCCACAGACAATGCTTTGCAATGAAACTGCTTTCAGTGCCAATAAACAATAGAATGCAATTTATGTCTCATTGTTCTACCCTGTTACGTAACAACTTTTGTGTATGCTGAATGCTGAGACCTGTCAGCTGTGCCAGCAAGCAGCATGGCTTTTTCTGCATGGGATTGATGTCATTAGGGTGTTTCACTTGTGCCCTTGAGAGATACAATGAATTTAGCCTGTGAACTCAGAGGGGAGAACAATATTCCATTGAACCAACATTTCCCAAATGTTTTTTTAACTTACACTCCCAGAGTATTTTTTTTTAACAAAGGGTTCTCTTTCAGTCAGCTGCTGTTTATTGGGAAGCACAATGCTAATGGTGTAAGCTGGGTGTGCAGCCAGTCTTGGTCACCAAATTAACTAGATAATTCCCAATCCTAGCAAAACCTTACAGCCATATGAGCCAAACTAAGACTGCATGATCTGCAAGAACTGCTTGTAGTAAAGTGGGAAATTACTGTAGTTAAAGGAGTCAACCTGTCTGCAAACACAGATTGTAAATATTCATACAGGATGCGTTAAAGCAAGAAAAGTCTGTTTTAGTATTTTCAAAAACTCTCTCTGCAGTTTTATAGCTACGTGAAAAAGACAAAAACATTGGTTGAAGAAGCCTTGTGCCTGCAGACCAAGCCCAAACTTGCCTCATGTAGGTAAGGTAGTTTGGATGTAGATTTGCACACATATCCACTAGTCCAAGGCACTAGCGGATGCCCATACCTGCAGTATGGCCTTTTGTAATCATATATCCCCCAGTGCTTATGACAGCTCCTGAACAGATATATGAACAGGGAGTCCTAATTAGAAGAGCCTCCCTCTGCATGAGCAAGACTCTGGGCTAACTTTCTGCATGGGATTGATGTCATCAGGGTGTTTCACCTCTGCCCTAGAGAGAAAAAATTAATTTAGCCTGTGAACTCCAAAGAGAGAACAATATTCTATTGACCCACCGTTTTCCACATGTTCAACTGTGGAGTTGAACTAGATGTTCACAGACCAGTGAAATCACACTATAGTGTCCAGGCAGGACGACACAGGATAAGTGTAACTACTGAAAGTGAAATGCTGTGTTGACCCTTACGCGTTAGGGTATCACGTTTAAAAGGCGAGTAGGTGTCTTTTATATAGACCTCAAATCAATTACTGTAACATGTGGGGTTTTGTTTGGTTTTGTTTTTTTTTTTTAATTCAAACTCTTTTGTGAAGTAGCCAATTATAGCTGCAAAAATAAGATTGAAGACAGCTGTTACAAGAAAGTTCCAATTAGATTGTCCAGACTTTCAAGGAGTCTGAGGCAACTGCGTGATTTGGGCACATTCCTCCTTGAAAGTCACAAACAATTCTCTCCATCCTGCTCTCACAATTTGGGGAAGTAACACTGTCCTTGATCATTTGAAATGTATTCTGCTGTTTTCACATTTGTTTTCAAATTAATGGTCCAGTAGCTGAACAGACTATGCGTATGTTCAGAATAAAACAAACCTTTATTTATATAACCATAATGTATGTGCCATACTAGCTTGGGTGCCAAAGTGAGTTTTACGTATGAGTTTATGACTACTTAAGCTCTGACACAGTATCAAAAGAATATCAGAAGCAAAGACCAGCTGCTGAATGCAGTAAGGTTTTTCCAAGTGTCATGATTATGAATTCTCCTCTCTGCACAGCTATTCATTCTGCTAATTTTCAACAGTCGTAATCACAAGGGAAAAAGAGGATCACCCACAGCATTACCCAATCTGATTTTTAGTATAAGCATAGCTCCCATTCTATTCAGTGGGGGTTTTAGGAATGTAAAGCGTGCAGAATTGAGCTCCTTAGGCCCTGATCCTGCAAGTAGCTCAGACATGGGTGGGTTTGTTTTAAATTCAAGTTAGAGGCATAATTATTTAAAGGCATTTATTCTTGTCATCACCTAGAAAATTCAAACTCCTTTTGAGCTATCAAAGTAGCAGCAAGGCTTTTTTTTAAAAAAAAAAAACAAACCAAAACCACAACGAAAAAAACCCTTGCTTGTTAAAATAGACAAATACTTATAGCAACTTAAAAAATAGTCTACCCAGTATTCAGGGAGTTGGATGGATTTTGAATTTTAAAAGAAAGGGAGACCCCCAGCAATTCTAGCTAGCTTTAGATCAGCCCTTATGTGGATAAAATTTTATGCAGTGTTTTAAATAGAGGTGTGGTGGTTACATGCTAGCTAACCTTAATAAGGTTGAATTCAGCTGAGAGCTAATCCTCTTGCTTGTAACATTCAAGGCACATGTCTCAAACTTGAGCACAAGTCCATGAAGACATGAACCCAAAATAGATTTCCAGCAGACCTGAAACTGTGTATAAATCAAACTTTAAGATTTCAACATTATTTTGTTTTCAAGTTCCTTGATAGCTGAGTCTCACTGACAGCTGAATCTAACTGACAGCTGAGCCATCCACACAAGGAAAAGGTTACCTTTACTGAGCTGTAGTTTGGACTGGATGTGTTCACACTTCATTTACTTCTAGGTCAGCAGCAAAATGGAGTAATAAATCCCCCACAGTTTCTACCACTTCCCCATGTCCCAGGAAGTCAACGGGCCAATCAGAAAAACCTGTATACAAATATGACACGACCAACTTTACCACGGCAACTGTCAGGAGGATCAGGCAAGATTTCACAGCAACCAGAAAGCTTGGATTTCCTGAAAGTACCTGACCAAGGAGCAGCTGGGTAAGATTTTACATTAAATCTGAGAAAAAAGTGTCAATTTTTGTAAATAGCTTCACACACTCAAACTGTTCAGGACTGAAAATTCATAGATGACCAGATTGTGCTATTGAGCTGTACGCAATGGTATCATCATCTTCTGTAGGATTTAAAACACATATTCTATCGTAGGCCTTTAAGAATGAAGGTGAACCAGTTCTAGTTTAATATCTTAAATTTGCGTGGTACCTTCTACTTAAGGATATTAAGACACTTAGCAGAGTTTAACTAGGCCTTCTTTCCCTTCTAGTTTACAGATCATAAACAGTAGATGTAGTATTTTATGGCAACTGTCATGCCCAGAAATGCTGGCTAATAGTCCTTTTGTTTTAGCTTTGACTCCTGACTCACACACCACATTGGTACTTCTTTTTAGGAGGAAGGCTTGGCAGTGTGACATTCAAGATCATTTCAGCATCATTTGGACTTCTAAGCTGCAGCCTTCTAGATATGTTACCATGACAATCCTACAAGATTTGGGGGTGGGCGGTCTTATTGTTGTGACTTTTCCCGATAGCCAAGAGTCAAAAGCATCAAAACAATCACCAGAAGTGGCAGAAAGACAGAATCAAGAAATCAGGGGCTTAGTAGAGGGCAGCAGAACAGTTGTTCTCAACTCTGAAACCAGCTGCTCCAGATCTTGACTGAAAATCCAGAAGCAGGCAAAACCTCTGATTTGTGGAAATCGTGAAGACAGAAGTCTTGTGTCAAATAGTTATGGGACCTTAGAGCTCCAGAATGTTAAAGACCTTACAAAATTTTAAGTTTTTCAATGACTGAACAGTTTCTACTTTAACTCAGCCCTTATATTCCACTCTCTTGTAGAACATTAGTGGAGCTTTACTATAGTGGGAATTTGAGTGCCAGTTAATTGTCAGACTGCTGTCTATTCAGCAATACTAGCCAAAAAAAAAAAAAAAAAAAAAAAAATCTGATTTTGAATAAGCAGTTTGTGTTTCTCCTTGCTGATGACTTCCTATTTGTGTGATTTAATTCTGACTTAACCAAGTCTCAGAGAAATTACTATTAGTAACAGCTGGCTGTCCCAGAGCCATATTAAATCAACAAGGAAAGTTACATTAGCAGATAGAATAAAAATCCACTGTGGTAAGGTGTAGTAACTTTGCATAGTAATGGTTAGTGCAGACACAATTCTATAGTCCACAGCTCTTCAAGTAAACATAAATACCTCCTTGTAAAGTAGGAAAGTCCTGTGTATGTTGAACTAGCCATCATTTTTACATCTCTGTCCAAATAATACTGAGGGGAAAAATGAGGAAATTTGGACTTTTCCTGAATCCACTGTGGTAAGGTGTAGTAACTTTGCATAGTAATGGTTAGTGCAGACACAATTCTATAGTCCACAGCTCTTCAAGTAAACATAAATACCTCCTTGTAAAGTAGGAAAGTCCTGTGTATGTTGAACTAGCCATCATTTTTACATCTCTGTCCAAATAATACTGAGGGGAAAAATGAGGAAATTTGGACTTTTCCTGCATCAACTACAGTTCAATGTCCTCCTCAACTTCTCTTCCTCCAAATGGCCTCTCTCCTTCCCTCCCTTCCAACAGATTGTTACTTCCCTCTGTAGTGAGACTCTAGAGCCCAGGTGCCGACAGACAGCTGGCTGACAGCAGTTAGCTTTATATTGCACCAGTGCCCTGACTCATTGCAGTCTGAGCCTTCGCTTACCACCACAGCTAGAGCACCATATACCCCTGAAGGTGATGTAAAAGTTTGAAGTAAAACCAGAGACACTGCTGCAGTAAGAACTTTGCCTAAGGAAGCGCCCAAGTATTTCAAGCGCCCACGATCCCATTCTAATATTGCATTCTTTCACCCTTATCATACATTGTCCACTGTAGTAACGCAGCAGTGACATGCCACATTCAAGGATTTTTCTTGTTGCTCACTAACACTTAAGCAGTCATGATATTTTTCCTCTGAGCTGTCAGTTGTGACTCAAGCTCCCAGGCCTGACAGCAAATCATTTTGCCAAATATGGAAGAGCTTGCACTTGGGGTAATCTGGGAGAAATCAAGATTGGGTCAGACTTTCACCAAATTTCCACCTGACCTTCTGCAGCCCCTTAACATATTTGCCCTCAGCCTGGAATATTCTGAGGGATTAGATGGAACAGCTCAGTCCGCTTCTCCAGTGATCCACATGAATGGGGGTTCTTAGAGGCAGCAAAAAATTATTTCTTTTTAACCATACCAAGAGCAACTTTTCATACCAACAGACCCTTCTCAGCTGTCAGTCAGTAGACAATCTCCTTAGCCAGATGTTCTGCACTAAATTCTCCTGTTGGCCTAAGCACTCTTTTTTGTGTGTGATCCAGCTGGCTACAGTACTTATTTAGCGTATTACTTACAATGTTGCTTCTAGTGAGCATTAGACACCTCACAGAAAACAAATAATAGTAAGTGTACACAGAATTGATAGATTTCCAGTATCAAAAGAACTGCTCAGGGTTTCTAAATAGGGGCTTTCCAGTTCCTAAGCACAGAGTAGAGGTGGCCAGCCCCGCAGCAAAATTAGGCATGTACAGAGTGTCTTTTCAGTTGTACTAATGGCAGTCCTTTTTCCCCACTGTACACCAAGTGTTAGCCGTAAGATATTGTAAGCATATTTAGAGCATTTTTCTGTTTAAGATTGGTCTTCAAATAAGAAAACAAGCGGCCACTACTACTTATTTTAACAATTTCAATACTGTCAGCATACGCTAACACTTTTAGACACACGTCCATCTTTGTAAACTAGTAATTTCCAAGCATTTAAGTGGTGAAATTTCCTCATCGCATGTCAACTTACTCTGTTAAAGCTGTTTTGCTAATACTAGACTTCTACTTTGTCTTGAGACTACAGTTCATGTAACAACAACAAAAAACCCATAAGCCATAGAATAAAGCCATTGTGATTTCTATCGGACAACTGTGACTGACACATACATTACTGTAAAATGTAGCAGCCACCAAGTACATAATGAGATAGGAACTATCATATTGGATTAAAAAGATCAGTTGCATCATACCATAGTTCCTAATGCTATGGGTACACACCAACAACCCCATCTGTTTCATTCTTACGAGTTCACAAGGATGATGAGCACATACTAAAGCATCTATTATTTATAGTTACCATTTTAAATTGCAGTTATGATCGATGTAATCCAAGGGAAGGAAAAAAAAACAAAAAACAAACCACAAACCCAACAACAAAACACACTGTGTTAGAATGACATCTTCACTGTCTGCCCCAGTTTTCACTGATAACCGTGTATGCTCAAGAGTGGTAGCAAAAAAAAACCCCACCAACAGCCACAGCAGTAATTGCAACCAGAACAAGTAGGGAACAGGCATCCATCGCTCCCCTCTGGATGGATTTTGTGGAAGTCAAGCTTCTCTACAGGAAGCCACAAGTAAGACAAAAGAGCACTTAGTAACATGGCTTATGATTCTGAGGTAGGGAGGGACGAGGACATTGGGGAGTGAGGGGGGTTTGTTTTGTTTTGTTCCTTTGGTTTGTTTTTTCCTTTCAAAGCAAGCTACAGTTGTAGGCAACATGCAGTAGCAACATGGATGCTACTGTGTAAGGTAAGGGAACATGTAAAATGGGCCTGGCAAAGTGAGTTCTTAGACCCTGATGTTCCAGTACATGAGTTGCTGCCTGTCTAGTACACTCTGCAAGTTTATTGAATTGCATTTCCTAAAGTGTAGAGTAGTATTTTGGTCAGAAATGGTGCAAAGTGCCCGCTCTGAGAAGAGTAGAGTGCAGCCCAATGAGGATAATTTCAGGTGGGCATTGAAACAAGTAGGTAATCATTTGATTTTACATCTGTTTGACTTCAGATGGTGGTGGGCTACTCTAGGAATTGGAGTATTTTGACACAGTGTATTCAATGCTTTGTTAATGCTAATACTACCATATTCTGAGCACACAGTCGAAGATCAATTTGTAATCGCCATAATATTAATATAATCCATA